ATTCGAATTAAATGGATACCAATCGTATTTATATATGGGAAAATAATCAATGTTATATTTTGGTCTGCCCTCATGTATTACTTTTCATTATTTTTACAAAGGGTTTTAATAATTTTGATAAAGAAAAACACTATTATTTAGTTACGAGTTGGATAGCGAAAAGAACCGATTCTCTTTCATCTCTTATCTTCTGTGACGTAACACCATTGTTCCTTCCTATCACTTACACCACTTGAATTATTATTATTACTACTATTACTATTATTATCTCAACAAAATCATTGTTATAAAAATGATTGACCAAAACCCTTTTCTACAATCTTCATATGTGTTGTTGATAAATGGCAAAAGAATAAAATATTGGATACTTTTGGTTTATTCACTTTCATTTTGATGCGATGAATAAACTAAGCATACTCATGATAAGTGTGTAGCGTAAGGCATGATGTTATCAATAATAAATTACTTTCCATTCCTCAATTTCACCATTAATTAACTACACATATTTCCCATTTGCCATGCTCATTCTCTGAGCAAAATCATCACAGAAGGTCAAACATTCCTAAATTACTTTAGGATAAGCACAATTAACTATGGAGTTCTTATGGATTAAGCTACCGAAAAACAAATGCATTTTGGTGATATGAGTAGCCAAATCAATCCCTTTAAGCTATCCTTCAACTGTATAGTCACATACCTATACATTCTCTAGATCACTCTCATTCCGGTGATGTTCGATTCATCCATGTGTCCCTTCCACTGGAAGCCTACCAGGAGACGCTCCTTGTTTGTGACCCTTGCACTTCGTGCCTTTTGCACCGGCGATCACTCCCTGCCTTGGTCAGTGCCCGGGACCAACTTCCGCATGGTTCGTCCTCGAACCACACCGTACTAGAAGAGGCTAGGCTCTGATACCACTTATTCTGAATGAAAAAGAACGATAACATCTACGACCTTACGTAGTATATAACACATTAACTAAATTGTTTAGGAAGTCTAAAGAAGAACTACACTTAGACCAAACACTCATTCATACATTTCTAATATTATAACACAATCATTATTACCGCAATTCCTTATATAAGAGAACCTAATATAGACGGACGCTCGACCATATTACCACCTTTACTCAGAATACTACAGTTGACGATCAATCCCTATCTCAACTCAATTCACCACATGCATCATTCATCCATCCACACGTCCAACACATATCTCATACTCATCAAATAATCAAACAACGTATCATGCAAACATACCAACGTTCAAACAAGACTTTAATCAAATTATATAAGCTTCCCTTACCTCTATACGTAACCAAACGCTCAATGAGGCAGAATGTAGCTCCCCACTACCAAAGACCTAACGTTCGACAATCCCGTTTTAGGAGTACTGGACCAAACAGAGAAATCAGGACACTCAGAATTATACTATCCCATCAGGCGACTATAAATAAAGAGTTGCATGTGAGAATGAACGAACGTGCTTAAAGAGAAAGAAACTCACCAGCTCATAATCACAAACCGATCGGTTTAAATGGAAGCTCTTGACGCCGGGAGTGTTCTAGCGGTGCCTGAGAGGTGATCGGAAGAAGAAATGGTGAGGTTTTCTTAGAGAGAAGGTGGAGATTTTAGAGAGAAGGAGGAGGAAATTGTTTCAGCAGTTTGGAGAAGAAGGAAGACATGCAGAGAAGTGGCACAACATTTGAAATTTGTCCTTAAATATTGACGTCACCCAAAACGAACGATCACTCTCCTGTAGCCACCTTTTTTCCACTAACTGAGACGCTCACTCCCTTCTTGGCACATGGATCCCAATACTTGGGGTTTTTGGGTGAATTTTTAATGGGTTCTGACAAAAAAAGCTTTCACATTTAAGAATTAAGATCATATTCAATTCTTATTAATTTTATTATTTTTATTTAATATAAGAATTTTAATTGATCTATGAGTGTTTGTGAATGTGTATGAATCTAAGAGGTGTGAGTCTGAAAATTATGCAAAGAAGGACGCATGGGTTCACATGCCCTATAAGGGTATGAAATGGGATGTTGCCCTGAGCATGTGAAGTTGTGAAAAATGTTAAAAAATTGAATGCAATGTTGAGGAGAATGGGAAGTATATTTGGGGAAAGAGTGTAGTGGAAAAGGAGAGGTCCATAATAGGAAGATGGGTTTGTCCCTCAATAGGAACACAGTGTGGGAGAAGGGGCAAAGAGGGGTCACACTGTCCAAGTGCAAGGCATTGTCACAAGAGGTGTCAGTGCAATTCTAATTATATCTCACATTGCCATCTCAATCTTTGCTCCACTCATTTATTGCTCTTTCTCACCACGGATTTTCTACCTACCATTACAAACACATATGTTAACAAACTACAAAAACTTGACATAAAAAATAAGTTAAACAAACAAATTTTTTTACTATAATAAATTTTAACGTAAAAATGTGATAGTTTGTTAAGAAATTAATTTTAAATTTAATTTACAAAAATTACATTCAAATATATATTTTAGAAAAGTTTTATTTCTAATTCACCTAAAATTTTCAATATTTCTCATCAGAAGCACATTTTCTGTGAAATACAGAGTTTTGTTTCGTTTGTTTTTGATAGGTTTTGATATCTTTAATAATGAGAAACGAAAGTGGGGTCGATGAAAGAAGTGGTTGCGTAGGAGGCACTGCGTTTGCAAACAAACCCAACCCAACGAATTATTAAAGGCATCGAAATTTGACCTCTCCAATATTGACCCCACTCTCATACCCCGTTATTACCATAATCATCTCAAACAACAACAAACCAAACTCTTCTGGGATTACAAAAAGCCAACATCACTTAGGGTTTTGTTCCGCATCAGTGTGCATGGATATGTTCTTATTGGACTTTATAGTTGTCACGCTTTGGAATCAGAATACCTCACTAGATACGCTATATATGGAGAACCTTGACATAATGAGCCACAAGAATAATTCCCCATCTCTTTCCCTTTTTTTCTTCTTTTTTTCTTCATCAAATTTAAATTCCTTTTCTCCTCTCCTTCACATTATTGTACCTTATATTTTGTTAAAGCAACATATTCATTTTATTTAATTTCTTAAAATATGTTAAATATTTTTTTAAAAATAACACATTAGAATTAATTTTTAATTTTTTTCATATAATCTTCTCCAATAATATTATCAAGATATGCCAACTCATCATTAAAGTAATTAGTATGAGAAACATAAATTGAGTAACTTGGGAAGATGAATGATGAAGGTTGAGAAAAATACAAAATGATACACTTCATGGTTGTGCCTATTATTGAATTAAAAATTAGTCGTATCGATTGCTATTATTATCTCCTAAAAAGGTCATAAAATAACGAAAAAGAATTCATATTATTTGATCCAATGAGGATTTGTTTTGGTGATCTCCAAGGTATTCGCTCACATCTACCCACCAATACAAAATAGACTTCACAAATAAAAAACATCAAAACACGACAATTAAATTATTTCTTTTCTTCTCTATGTGCCTTTAATTAATTGGATTAGAATATTTTCTTTACGTTTCAACGTAGATTATTAACCATTTATCTTTATTCATAAATTAATACATATATATATATATATATATATATATATATATATATATATATATGAAGTTTATATATTTATATAATGGAATTGTTAATATTATAGATTTAATATATGGTGTGTTGACCTAATCAGTACGAGTCGGCAGGTAATGGTACATATAATATAATACAAGCTGTAATTCAAATTAAGAAGCTACTTTATGAGGTAATCGTGCAAGCTGTACCTTCATAACATCATTTACATTTCACGTGTCACTTAGGTGTTGCTTCACAAATTAGGAAAAAAATATTATGACATACGAAAATTTTGCAATTCTATTATTTAATCCTTAAATAATTAAAATCGATTCAATAATATTATGTGTCTAAATTTATCTTTTATTTATTTTTAAATGGATTCGTATTAAAATAGTTTCTATTTTCTTAATAAATATAAGAAATGATAAATTATTAATATACCTTGAATTGCCACGGAACCTTTTGAGTTTGTCCAAATATGTAATTGAAGAACATTTCACCCATGAGAAAAACATGCCTTCAAAAAAAGAAATTTAATTCTCTTTGACTTTTTTTCTCTTTTGCATACAAACTTTTTTTTTCTATTATTTTTTCTCAAATTAAGATTGATATATAATATTCTTTAAATATAAATCGTATAATTAGTTTCATTTGGATTTGGCTTGAAGCTTTACCATTTTTTTTATAAATGTTTAATTTTGATTTTATTCCGTTGAATCTTTCATTTTAATCCATTTTGCAAACATTTTATTAGTGTTTTAAACCAAATTACCAATTAACCAGAATTATAACCATTTGTTTAGCTTTAATATCGGTTGCTTGTTATTTTATTTTTAAAATTTTCCTTTTCAGACTAAAATAAAACAATAAACAAATTTTATTTAGTTCTTAACAAAGAAATATGCCACATTTTTATACATTTAAAAAATGAATTATAGGAAAATTATTGATTGATTGAAATTTATAATAAATAAGTAGTTCAATTTTTTCCCAAATTAACTATCTAACCTGTTGTGATAAATAATAAGTAAAATATTTTTAAAGAAATTAATGAATTTCATTTTGTCATAAAAATTTATTGTTTCCTTTAACAAGATATTATTTGTATTCATGAAATCCAAATATTATAACAATAATATTTACATAAAATATTAATCAATTTTAAATAAAATGAATGGATATGGAAAATATTTGTTGAATATTAATCACGGTTTGTGCGTAAATAATTGGTTTTGTGAAAATAGAGAGCAACACAAATTGGGGAAGAAGAGAGCCACGATATCATAATGCTTAGCTGGCAATCCAATCATCAATGGCTAAACATTCACACATTCAATAAAAAATTTGTCGACGTGGATTAAACCATAGTCCACAACCTTAAAGCCTCAATCATTGATGTTTTTTCTCTCACCTCTTTTCTTTCTCTCTCTACAAAGTGCCTTTCTCTTTCTCTCTCTCCCAACTTCCCCACTATTCATATATAGTTTAGGACTGCAGATCCCGTGCAGAAGCCAAATATAATCCCTTTGTTTCCTCACATAAGATTTGGGTTTCTTCAAAGTTTTGTTTTTTTTTTTAAAAAAAAACTTTTTTTTTAATTTCTTGGAGGTAGAAGAAAGCAAAAGGGGTTTTAAAGTTTTCTCTGAAATGGTTTTCATGTCTGAGTTATTGTTCCCTGAAGAAAATATTGAGGAAGGTGAGTGGGAGAAAGAGAGATAAGAAGAGGAGGAGAAGAATACCTACCCAGCAAGCAGAAGTACAGAAAAGATATACAAAAAATTGATTGCATTCATTTTGATCTGCTTCTGCTGGTAATAATCCCTGTCAAATTGCTTCTTCGATTTGGTTGCTTATACAATTTTATCGTGTTTTTCTGTTTAGTTTCCCTTGTTTTGTTCTATAATTTTCCTTGATTTTTTTACATTCAGCACAATAGTAAACTCTGTCATAAGCCCAAAAGGGAAAAGAGTTTGGTTTGGTTGGATTTTTTTCTCTCTTCTTGATTTCTTCATTGGCTGAAAGCTCTTCGGTGTTTGTTGAACGAAAAACCAATAGATTTATTGGTCTTGTGAAATGTGAAAACCGTTTGTATTTATGGCTCTTGAAGCATGTCCTTGAATATTTTTTTATCTTGTGTCAAATATGATAAAAATGATGTTATATTAACCTGTTTGGTGCTGATTGTTTGTTCGCAGGGTGATTGGCAATGTCTGCATCGATGATCATTGACCCTGTGGTGATATCGGCACCAGAAACTCAATCAGCAGCTAGCATACTAGTTGCACAAAGTGAAGTTGAATTTGCTGTGTGTGACTGTTGTGGACTAACAGAAGAGTGCACCCCAGCCTATATAGAAAGAATCAGGGAGAGGTACCATGGAAAATGGGTCTGTGGGTTGTGTGCTGAGGCTGTTAAGGATGAAATTGTAAGGTCTGAGAGGCTTGTCTGCACAGAAGAAGCAATGGCAAAGCATATGAACTTCTGCAAAAAGTTCAAGGCATCAGGGCCTCCTCCAAATCCAACAGTGCATTTGATATCTGCTATGAGACAAATTCTTAGAAGGAGTTTGGATTCTCCTAGAGTAAGGTCCACACCTAATAGTCCAACTAAGACTATCACAGAAATCCATGGTTCTGTGCTTGCAAGGTCTGAGAGCTGCTTCCCTACCCTCACTGAAGGATTGGGATGAAGGAAATGCTGTGTGCTTTGTTGGATAAAAATGGAAGGAGACATCAGAAATAAGGGCAGAAAAATATAAGCTGAAAAATTAGAAGTTTAATTGTAGTTTTGTCCAGTACAGAACTTTCAATCTGTTTGTTAGAAATTTGAACATAATTTGGTCAAGAATTTTGCTTCACTAATACCAATTACCTTGTTTTCCATTCCTCTTAATTGTTTGAAATAACAAAATTATGTTCATAACTGAAGTCAAAATTTCAAATTTCGCAATTGCTGCAGCTGAAGAGAAAATGGGACAATGTTGTCTGTACTCAAATTGATGCTCTGCAAAATATCAAAATTTGATCCAGGAGTTCAACTAATCTTGTCTGTACTCAAATTGATTAAGCTAGGTTGATATCAGGACTGGTTATTTAAAGCGAAAACAAAAATAAGGACACCAATAATTGAGTTATACTTCTCCAAACCGGCTTAAAAACTAATCATTGGTGAAATATAAAATTGACTGGTCTACTTTTAGTGCTAGCACAAATGCACCTTCTGACATTCATTATAATTTCAAGTCAATTACACAGGAAAAACCTTGGGTGGTTGGAAGTTGAAACAGTCATGAATATTTGTAGTGTTTATAAACCTTTAGCATGTACTGAGTCTTTTGCATAAAATAGTTACTCCTACAATGCTCTATGCATTCTTAAAATTCAAGAGCAAATCACGGGTATAAAAATTACTAATATACTTTCGTTTCATTGACCAAGTCCATGGTCCCTCCCTGCCTTATATGTCAAACTTAACCAAAATTTATTCTAGGCTTTATACCCTTTTATGGCACATCAGCATTGAATATACTATTCACTATAAAAAGATGGTAACAAGCTGCAAGGAAATACATCCATGACACTAGAACAAAAGTAGAAGGGTGGATAGTATCGTATAAAGAGGGACCAACAGCCGTGGAATGATTATGATTATGCCTTAGGAATGCAAAGTGGTTGGATGGTCTCATCTATTTGTGATTTTCTTTTCTGTGCACCTTTAGATCTTTCTGGTGGCAACGCATGACAACTAAGCTTTGTTTCTTGTATATTTGAGTCAAATTCGTTTTGAACTATAACTAGTGATTAAAAAAATAAAACATACATTTTCAAACAAAGTTTACTAGTAGATTTCATATTAAAATTACAGTATATATGAAACTGTTTGAGCATAATAAAATGGTAAACAGTAAGTTTGTCTATGGAATTGCTGTTCTATGATTATCCTAGATAAAACAGAACATTCTTGAACACAAGACTGACGTGTCAGGTGAAACTTGGTCTGTTTTGTTTCTATTATTATGATCTGCCACAGCCCCCACTTAGCTCCAAACGACTAAATTTTCAATGAACATATCATCATGTGAACAACGCTACTTCTGTGTCCTCTGCTAAACTTTATCATGCAAAGTAAATAGAAGCAGAAAGCAGTAATAATCTCTAGCTGTTTAACAGGTTTCTATGAATCATCAGATTACTCCTGGCACCTTGTTTGGCTCTACAAAGAATGAGTTTCTCTTTGTGGAGATATTTGTACTGACGACCATGCAAACTGAACTAAATAAAACTGTCTTCAGTTTTCCTTTCAAAAACCAAAGAATTAAACTTTTCTAATTTTGGACAAAAAGTGAAGCAAAATGGTTACTACCCAGTTGAGAAATGAGACCAAAGGTTGCATAACTCATGTCAATATTGGTGTACTTGAGGAAGATACGAATGGAAGTTCTTGCCAGTTAGGATGATAGTTAATATAATATCAAAAAATTGACTGTCTTATTCTTTGAAAAGGGTTGGTGGTTTCCTCCAACAAGCGTCCAAAATTTCCCATCAATTGTGTGTTTTTCCACCCTTTCCGGGAAAGTGGTTTATCTAATTCTTGAATAAGTTAAAAGGGTTCTTCTTCACTTTGCTCTAAGCTAACCAATCAGCTATGATTAGCTCAACAGATTAATTTAATGGTGTGATTAACATTATCAAAATAGCGTCATGAACCATCCATCATTTTAGTCATATTGTCAGAATTGTTTATGTGCTGTTCAAAAGCAATTGGGCAATTATTGGGTGGCAAAATTAGGTCATCATCATAATGGTTCCCGTGATTGTAGGTTGTCATCGAATGTGTTAGTTTCCAGAATTGTGCGGTAGATTCTACGGGAACAGTTACCACAAAGTGCATATAAAGAATCAATTTTGACTCCGTCTACTGTGGGATTCTAGAGAATTCTTGAGATAGAAACTAAGTCTTTGTTAACTTAATGAATTTGGCAGAAAGTGATGAACGAGATTTAAAGGAATTTGAAAGTAAATTTTTGTTGTTGTTGATTTGAGTGAATTTGGGAGTAATTGAGAGTGAATTTGGAAGTAAATTTTTTTATTCTGTCCTATCAGTAGAATTCTAAACTAATTCTTATAAACTTTACTTCCAAATTCACTCTCACTTACCTCTAAATTCATTCAAATAAACAAAAAAAAATTATCTTCAAATTCTCTTAATCATTTTTTTCAAATCTATTCAAGTTAACAAAGCCTAAAAAACATGAATGCACACAAAAATAGAGATACATTATAATATTAATGAATTTTGAGTCTAATGAAATTAACACTACTTTCTATTTAAAATTTTAAAAACAATAAATAAATCTTTCATTTTTATATTCCTATGTTCTTTTTCAATTTTATAATTTAGACTAGCGTAAATTTCCCATAACAAAACCAAAACAATATAATCTATTTGTTTTAACATGTAATGTCACAATCTTACTTTAATTTCTCGTGTCTATTACTTACAACCATCAATTCGGAAATTTATACAGCTAATAAAGCTACAAAAGTTGCGTACTCTTATTCGTGATGTGTCAACTTTATATGAGTATACTTATAAAACAGCTTTTCTTAATTATTTTGCTTATTTTTACTAAAAATATCTCAAGGAACAACAATAGTAAGATGAAAAATTATTGTTTTGGTATTTTCGTTGTCTTTTTCATAACTTATGATCAAGTTCCTTGTTTGACTTTTTTTATGAAGCGTGTTGTTTTTTCATTTGTAGTTGTCTTTTAACATAGTTGTTAATAGTATTTCAACCTTTGTACTATTATTTTGCTTATTTTAGGCTCTTGCTATTTACACGTTCTTTTATTCACAAAATACATTTCTCTTTGTTTCTTTTTTTAAATGACACGTTTAGGAAATTAAGTCTTACTTTATGGGATGTAAGTGTATTTAAAAAATAAATTTTAGAACGTAAAAAGATTAGACTTTGTTGTAAGGGGAATTTTTCAAAACACATGTTTATGTATAATATTATTTTAAAATAAAAAGGAAAAAAATGAGAGATAGAGTGGAAAGTTTGAGAAAGTAAAACTTGAAGATGAAGAACTTCTTGAAACTAATCATTGATGATTATTTTTTCTTTTATGTTGACAAGTGACTAAATCTTTCTTTGTTAAGATCAAATATAATAAAACTATAATTCCTATGCATTCTTATCGATGAATAAAGTTTATATGGCCTTTTTCAGTGATAATTATCTTTTATGATTAATAAGGAAGCGATAATTATTAAATAAAGTCGCATATATAATTATTCAGGAAGTGATAATTAGTGATATTAATCAATTTCAATAACATATAAAATGAGAGCAATATTGCGTATTATTAAAAAGATTATAGAAACTTTTTGGTTAAGTTTGATTCTAATAACATTCTGGTAAAAAAAAATTATATTATGCAATTTTACGTAATAATATCTCTTTTTGTTGATTTGCAACATTCATATAATTAATTAGGAATGTAAAAAAAAAGTTTGTATTTGCAGATAAAATATATATTATAAATAGATCCAGGCAAGTAACAAATACAAATATTTTTTATATCTGTATGTTAATGAGACATGTATAGAGTATTATAATCTTTCTATCCGTATATATCATATATGTTAATATTTAATTTACCAAAATACTTATATATATATATATATATATGATGCTTTCTAATATTTCATATATACTTTTGGAAACACTTTTTATGAAGTACTTTACAAAATTATTTTTTTTAACATTTTAAAGAGTGATTTGCAAAATACATTTTATATTATCAACATTTAAATACAAAAAAAAATGTTATGAGACGTATTTTTTAAAATACTAAAATAATAATAAAATGTTTCTTAACCACACTTTTTAACATTATAAAATGTGCACTTTGAGATATATTTGTTTTTCTTACATATGTAAAAGTACTTTTAGAGCATGAAAATCAACCCTATTGCATAAAATAAATTTTCCACAAGTTAAATAAAAAAATATTTGTTGAAGAGATATATCCTATCAAAATTTTACTACAATATTTGAAAGTAATAACTATTTTTAATTTAATTGGATTTATGGTATTAAAATCATTTTCACAAAATTGAGTGACTCAAAACATGAAAGAACATATAGTAAGCAAAAGAATGGTGAGTGAAAAGGAAATAAGATTTTTTTTTAAAACAAAAAAGGAAACTAAAGTGTAAAGGGAACTACAAATAGCAGGAGACCAATTCTACGAATACTTTTGGGTTTAGTAGCATGACCCTTCACTCTGTTGGGAGTGACCCTCCACCACCCCCCATCTTCTCCCTCCACCTCCCCAATTTTTTCTTAAATTCTAAATTTATCCTTTTTATTTTTACTTTTATCAACTTTACTTTTTATTTTCTAAAATCCTAATTCTAATTCCCTCTCACTTTCATTTTCTCTTTAACTCTCAAGCAAGTCCCTACCCTCGTTGTCACTTTCTCTCTTTCTCTTAATTTCCATTCCCGTTAACACAAAATTTGACAAAAAAACAAATTCTGCATGATACAAATTTAAAACATTTATAACTTCTTATGAGTGATGAAGTATCATGATTCCATAATATAATCTGCTAAAAAATTATTCCCCATTTTCTTGTCTTTAAATAACCAAACTTGAAAATCTATGTTTAAAATTATATTTGTGCTTACAATGGTGCTATGAAAGAGAAGTATGTTTGTTGAGTATAAAATAAAAAGTGAATAAAAGAAAAAATAGTTAGTTCAATTTATCTTCTTCTCTTTTTTGTCAAATTTCGTGTTAACCGAAGTGGAAATTAAGAGAAAGTGAAAGTGACAGTGGGAGATGGGAGCTTGCTGCTGAGAGTGAAAGAAAAAATGAAAGTGATAAGGGATTGAAATTAGGGGTTTAGAAAATAAAAAGTAAAATTGGTAAAAGTAAAAAATAAAAAAGGTAAATTTAGAATTTAAAAACAATTGAGGAGGAGTAGGGAGAATATGGGGTGGTGGATGGGTCCGAGAAAAATTTGAGTCACCTTTTAACATTGGGTTTGAGTTTGTGCTAGTTTGGGTTAAAATGGAATTATCTTTTATTTTATTTAAAAATATGATTAGGCAACTTTGTAAAATTGAATTTTTGCTCATTTACATAATTAGGATGACTGGATGAATATAATTATTTAATATTCACGTATCTAATAGGCATATAGTTTTTGTGAAAGATATATTTTCACTAATTTTCTTCTTCTATGCTTTGATAAATTTATGTCTTATATTCATTTTCATATTTATGCAAGATATATGTTATATTTCTATTTACATATTCTTTTTAATATTTGCATATAGTTGCGAATATTTACAAAAGAAAAATTCTAAAAATATTAAACAAAATGTTTTAATAAAAATTAAAAAAGAAATTGTATAAAAATATACAAAAATTGTATAAAAGTTCCCACCACGATCATCTCATTGATCACAACCCAATACTTATCATATTTAGTTATTATGATTGCAATCATTGGATGAATAATAGAATTAGGATGAATAATAGAACTATGACAGAATTCACTAAATTAAAATTAATTTAATTTCACATGTTTTTGGGAAAACGACATTCAAGGTGGATACAAGTATCATAAATTAAGAGTGTCACATTATAAAACAATCAAATTTCTCACTTAAATTTGATTATGTTAGAACTTATTTTTTATTAATGTTATTCACATATTGAAAAATAACTTTGTCTCACCGAGAGATCGCCAAGCAACCTAATTTCAAAATAGTGAAAAATATTTAGTTGTGTACCTAATTATAGGACAAACAACCTAAATTTTCAAATAATGAAGAATACGTAGTTTTTTACCTAAATATATGATTTTGTATGTAACATATAATTTCATACATAATATATGAGTTTTTACGTAATATATGATTTTGTACAAGACCAATAATAAAATGGTTAGGAATTTTCATGTTAATTTCCCTTTCATCATTTTCACAAATACAAAAGCAAAATCAAGCTCAACAACTAACTCATATTTTGACATTTTCAATCTCAAAAATAAACCAAAAACTTATTTACTTCATAGCATAGAAGAATCAATTGTTTCCTAACACACACGTCTCTCTCTCTCTCTAGCTCTCTCTTCTCCCTCTCTCTCTCTCTCTCTCTCTATATATATATATATATATATATATATATATATATATATATATATATTATATACTAGTGGGTATGCATATACATAGGTACAAATATTATGATACATGTACCCGCTTCATTAGCATGAGGATATAAAATAATACTCCTACCTGTTACCCGTTAGTATTCATTTATAATATCAATTTCCTACCAATTGCATATTTTATATGCATATATGAGCTATTTTTTTACATCCCTCGTATATGAGTTTGATATTAATTCGTAAGTTGTCACCATTATGAACTTCAACAAAGTTTTGTCTTTTGCATGAGGATTCTCTTAAGTTAATGAGATCATAACATATGCTCCATATATGATTCGAAAAATTGTTTCTTTTATCAATAACTAAGGAGTGTAATGATGTCTCCATAATATGATTGGAATTTCATCAATCCAATGGACTTTGACTTGCTCAATTTTTTGTTCAACTTGTTTAATATAATTTTTCGTTGCTTTGGTTTGATTGTTGATCTTTGATGTTTTATGGAACTTTAGAATTTTTTCAAAGCCTTTGTTAATTAAATGTCAACCATTAAGGATGACAAAAGAGTGGAGTAAAGCAAGCTTGCATAAAACAGTCTCCCAAAAGGAATTTTACACTTGTTATGGAATGATACTTGAAAAAGGTTTTACCTTTATCTATTTAGTAAAATAATCAATTTCGTTATTAACCTTTAGTGAGTGGGAATGATTCGAGTATATCCATTCTTCATGTTGTAAAATGTCAAAGCATAATAATTATATGTAACTCCTCTCCTTTGTTGAATAGAACACCACTTTCAGAACATTTTTGAATGAATGCATGAACTTTTTTTCTTGTCATATATCATATTTATCATTTCTTACCAATGCGTTGTTGATGGTTTATTTTCAAATAATCTCATACTCAAACATTTTGTACATTATTGTTTCATTTTATTCCATTACTCAATTTTGAATGATTTTAGACTTGACATTTATAAGATAGTTTCAAAAACTTTTGGATAAAATAACACATAAAATAATAAAGTGACAGGGAGAACTAATATCAATTATTTTTCCAATATTTTTTATATCGGATTTTACCCTTAACTACAATTCATAACTATTACTCTTTGAAGAAGAGTGAGACAAATGTCACATGACAAGTCTTAGAAAGTTAGGCAAAAAGTTTAAAAACTCACTTTATTCTTTTCTCACAAAGAAACTAATAAGCTTTAATATAGTCTTTGGTACTTAGTATGTCTCGTTTTAGGTACTTTTTTAAGATTGGGTAATGTGTTTTTTTTAAGAGTGGTCAGATGATGATTGTAACCATTAACAATAACAATAAGGTATTAAACCCTAGTACACATTAAATCTATATAGCTATGAAATATGAAATGAAAGAGTTTTAATAGGGAAAAGGGCAAATAGAACAAATAAAATTTACAATATAACAATTAAATTAAATTAAACAGAATGTCTTATATTATAACAATTAAAATTTACAATTTTTTAAGAATAAAATAAAACATAATTAGGATTGTAATCCCAAGATAAAAAATTTACGTAAATCATAAAATAAAAAATCATCGAATCTGTGTGGGTAGCTAGCTAACAAGGTTTTCCTCTGGCGGAAGGCGAAGGAACATCGAAAACCCCAAAGCAGTACCTTTCTGAACCCTGACTACTCTGTTTCTTCAATTCATCGGGTAAGTCCCATTATTCTTTAATTCTCACTTCACTTCTCTGTAATGCCATCTTTTCCCTCTCCGTTTTCCCTTAAGTTCTCTCCTTTGCGTGTCGTTCCGCCTTTTCGAGATCGAAACCCTAGACTATTTTCCGTCTCTGGGATTTCATAATTAGAATTCCAAACTCCTTTCTTCGATATTAATATTGGAAATGAAAGCGCCAAATACCTTTTTTGGTGCACAACATAGAAGTTTTCGTGGGGTTTTCAACTTTTTGTGTGTCGGGGTTTTGTTTTTCTTCTTTTACAATCGCGACGATATCATTCGCAACCCGATTCTTAGGCAATCCTCGTATTTTGTTAGCCACAAGTTGCCTCAAAATGCGATTTTGGGAGATGGGTCTTCTGTGATTCATCGTCGAATGGTTGAAATCGGTGCCAATACTTCAAGTGTTGCCGGTGAGGATGATTTAGGTGTGAGAGATTCTGAATTCTGTTCTGGGTTGGTCCACCATGATGGTTATGCTAGTCCCTGTGAATTCTTAGAGGTTCATCCACAGTGCTCTTCTGATGGATATCTTGATTACTTGAAATTTTTCTATTGTACATGTCAGGGTTTTAGAGTTTTTGGTTATCTAGGGTTGGGTGTATGGATTGCTGCTTTGTTTTATCTCTTGGGGAACACTGCTGCAGACTACTTTTGCCCTTCACTTGAGAGATTGTCAAGGCTCTTGAAATTGCCTCCAACCGTAGCTGGGGTTGTGTTGCTTCCACTTGGGAATGGAGCACCTGACGTGTTTGCTAGTATAGCTGCCTTTGTGGGTGCTGAAAGTGGTGAGGTTGGTCTTAATAGTGTGTTGGGTGGTGCTCTTTTTGTTACCACTATTGTTGTTGGAACAGTGTCGCTATGCGTTGCGGAGAAGGAGGTTGGAATTGATCGAAGATGCTTTATAAGGGATGTGAGTTTCTTTCTTCTTACTCTGTTTTCGCTGCTTATGATTTTGGTTGTTGGTAAGGTGGGTGTTGGGGCGGCCATTGCTTTTGTATCCATTTATTTTGTGTATGCGTTCATTGTTGCTGCCAATGAGATATTGAGGAAACATGCACAGAGATTGAAATTAGATGTTGTCACACCAATGCTTCCTGTCCAGGGAAGTGTGTTCTCTCTAGGCGTGGAAGATGATATTCCGATGTATAGCTCTTTGCTTGAAGACACTGAAAGCGATCCTCCCCGCCTTCCTCCATCGTTGCCCCAGTGGATGTGGTCTTCAAATGTGGCAATATATTCAAATCAAACAAGCAAAATGAGCTTTTTGGATGATGAAAGTCCTCCCTGGGGATGGACTGATGATGGGTCTGGGGAGAACACCAGGGTGTCCTTCTCAGTTTCAAAACTTTTTCTGCTGATGGAGATTCCACTGGCTATTCCTAGGCGATTCACAATTCCAATGGTCAACGAAGAAGTATGGTCAAAACCTTATGCTGTCATCAGTGCTTCATTGTCTCCCATTCTCCTGGGCCTTTTGTTTAGCACCAGAGACAATGTGAGTAATCAGGGTGTTATTCTTTCTTATTGTGTCGGTGTTGCTCTTGGATGTGCATTTGGTGTTCTCGCTTATAAATACACTGTATCTGATCATCCACCACGTCAATTTTTGCTTGCTTGGGTACTTGGAGGATTCATCATGAGCATAGTTTGGTTCTACATAATAGCGAACGAGCTTGTGGCTCTATTGGTAGCATTTGGTGTAATTTTCGGAATTAACCCATCCATCTTGGGGTTAACTGTATTAGCATGGGGAAATTCAATGGGAGATTTGATGTCAAATATTGCATTGGCATTGGAAGGAGAAGATGGAGTTCAGATTGCTTTATCTGGATGCTATGCAGGTCCTATGTTCAACACACTTGTTGGTTTGGGAATCTCGCTGCTGCTTGGGGCCTGGTCTAAGAAACCCTCTTTGTACGTGGTGCCTAAAGATAGTAGCTTATTTTACACCATGGGATTTTTGATCGCAGGACTGCTATATGCACTTGTTTTGCTACCTACAAAGAACATGCATCCTAACAGAACATTAGGAATGGGTCTCATCACCCTTTATGTGATATTTCTTTCTTTCAGGATATGCACTGCAATGGGATTTCTAACAGTTGCTGGTTGAAGTTGATTTTATCGCAATGGATCTAAATGAGCATGCTTTCTACATCTCTCTTTGTATTTCTGCAATGGGATATCCAAATTACACGTCAATGGAATTGACACTTTCCTTATAGGGCCCTTGGTATTTCTGTAGTCTAACAGTCTGTTTGTGAATCAGATCATCTTCGTTTCTTGCACATATATATATACATTTTACAGGTCCCATATCTACGAACAATATCAATATAAATACTAAATAGGAATAACTCTATTATATATACATAATCATTTAACTGGAAGAAAATAAAATTAAGTACATAGATTGTGTAAAGAATACTGCAATCTTTATGCTCTTAATTTTTCATCAATATGAAGATAAACTCCAGAGCAATTATTACATCAACCTATAATCATATCTCAACATAGTTTTTTTCCTCCCAAAATAATCTGCCTTAAATAAAGTGATTAACGCATAATTTAGAATCTCTTTATTCTTGTTATCTCTCACTCTTCTCATTGGATTTCTTAGGGTGTGTTCTTTTGGGTGTATTTGGGGGAGATGATTTGAATGGATTTGAGTGGATTTGAGTGGATTTGAGTGGATTTAAGGGTAATTTTTTAGTTGTTTTTTTGAGTGGATTTGTGGTTAATTGAGTGTGGAATTGGAAGTAAAGTTTGTGAGAATTAGTGTAGGATTTGATTGATGTGATAGATTTTAAAAATTAGTTTAATTAATAGAAATGAAAGATTACCAAAATGTTTCTAGCTATATATTAATATAAAATGTTATTTTTTAATGTAAAAAAGTTTATAAAGAGACCAAAACTATTAATAATTATTAAAATTAATTTTTAAATATTATAAAAATTATAATGTGATAAAATGAATTTATTTTTAAATAGGGAGTATGAAAATGAAACAAGAGTTGCAAGGAGGTAATCAAAAAGAGAAAAAAAAAGAAAACAAGAAAAAAAACAAATAAAAAGACAAAAATGGCCCTTGACCTAGGCCAAACCCTTTTTTTTGCTTCCAATTCAGAAAACCCTAGGGTTAAGTTACATCCCCTCCATTTCACCCAAAGAGGCTACGAGACCCAGGGTCTCTTCTCTAATCTGAAGAGCCTTAGGAAGATCACACACATAACCGCCTCTGCCACTCATGCCCCACTCCGCCACTCACTTCTCCATGACAGACATCTTCCTGTTGTCCCTCCTCCCTTCCTCCACTGCACGTGTCTATGCTGTCATTCTCCTCAACCCGAACCCACCATTGCTTCCATGGGGATCTACGTTTGACAGTGAGGCGAGGAAGATGATGACCGCATCACCCATGCACTAAGGTTAAGACAGTTCTGGTAACCCATTTTTGTTGCGACGGAGCAAGGAATCAAGGTATGGCGTCCCTGCAACCGGAAAAAAGACACACCGGCCATCCAAAGAAAGCAAATACGTGTGGTGGATCCGGATACAAGAAGCCTGTATCCGAATACGCTTCCTTCGAAAAAAATGAAAAACGTGTATCCGGATACGCTGTTTATTGGAATCAGATACGTCTTCTGCTTTAATATTAACGTTAATATTATGATTTTTTAATATTATAAAGGGTTGCAGATGGAGTCGGAGTTTTTAACAATCGTATAGGGCATGTAAGTCTTTTACTTATAAATCAGCGCAAATCCTTCCAATTTGGCGAGATGGTGTAAACAGTGCAATCCACGCTAAATCTACGTAAATCATCGCTTTTCCATCGTCTCAAATCAGCAAATGAGAACATGATTTCGAAATCATTCTACGCTCACAAATTCGCTTGAACAGTACAATCTGTTCAAGCGAACACAACCTTAATCTTTATATAATCCTTCATGTCATCATAAATAAATCAAATTTGTCAGTAAAAGGTTGTAATGTATAAAAATAAAAGGTTGTAATGTAAAAAAATTTATGTAATACAACTCTTTCACATTTTCCTATACCATTTCATTTTTTTTATTATAATTATTACACAACTCTTGCTTTATTCTTTTTTTGTTTTGTACTTTCCAAGTCACTAAACATGGATGAATCTTCAGCATCGTTCTAGTATATTAGTAAAACTTGCAACTACCATGGGTGGCAAAAAAATTCAGTGAATGACTCTTCCATAGAGAAATATCATTTATTCTGATAACTGAATAAAAAATGAAATATGTAGATCCTGAACATTGTTATCTGAGTTATTATGAGTGCAGATGAGTTGGCCATTCATAAGAAGGTGATGCTGCTTTCTGTACATTCATCTTAAATACCCAACAAAAATATCTCCAAAGAGATTTAATGCAACCTTGGGTTGTTTTTATCTTTTTATCAGGTTAGAACATGCTTTAAAAACATGTTAATAAAAAGTTTTGAAAAATGATAACCCTAAATCTCCTAAATTTCCAAGTAGAGTATATTTATTATATATTTTTATTTGATATTAATTTATTTATTAGACTATAACACTTTAGTTGAATTACTGTAATTTTTTTTATTATTAAATTGGTGTAGTTGTTGATTAAATTTATGTCTAAGTAAATATATCAATTATAATACATTTAAATATTATATAATTATTAAAAGACCTTTTGAAATTCTCATAATCGTAATTATTCTTGTTATAACATCAACAATCAATTATTAATATATTTATGATTATAGACTAAACTTGATTAGTAGTTAAACAAGTTGAAATAATTTTTTAAATAATTTAAATTTTTCCTTAAAGGTCTCAACTGAGTAATTGTATTAATTGATCACATGAAAGTAGTGTGTAAAAATTTGTAAGCCTGGGCTAACGTTGCATAAATATGATGGAGACAAATGATAAAACTGGTACGACATTTTGGTTAAATTCATACCATATTCTGGTAAAATTCACATAAATTAAATGTATGTCTATTTTTTTACCAACTACTATAAATTAAATGTTATAATTTTTAATTATTTCTTTTGGAGGAACTTCTTCCGTAGTCATTAATCTCACATATATCAAAAGCGTCATTGTACTTCAGTTTATAAGAAAGCAAAGCATTAGAAAGAGATTTTGGTCTACTTTAATAACAAGTTCCATTAAGACTATTTTAATGATTATATTTTTTAAAATTAACTCAATCATACATGTGGTTTTATTAAATTTAAAATATTATCTCTTTTTTAATAGATCTCTTTTCGAAGTTCGTGAAATGATTTTTGTGTTTTAATTTATTTGTCCACAGTACTGTTAGGTGGAGAGCATTTGACTATTTTCTTTTTTATTTGCATTTTCTCATTAATATTATAGTTAAAATATTTGCACATGCTTTGCTCACATGCTTCAACCGTGTATTATATTATAATATTTCGTAATAATTACCAATCTTGATACTTTATTTTATATCTTATAAGAGGATCTTAATATATTAAAAGAACATGTAATAAAAATTCTGCACGATCTGATGTAACATGTTTTAATATCTTCAAATAAAACTCGTGGTATTAAAAGAGGTGGATCAGAACGAATTATAAAACGCCAAATGGTCCACTAATGCAGCAGACAGTACATTATTGCATCATAGTATAAAACTAATAAAGAAACACTTAAAAAGAACTAATAAATGTTGAAGACTAAGGAACCAAGACATTGATATTTATTTTACACATCAACAACAAGGTAAAATAATTTTAAAAGAGATAATTTTTATAATTTAAAAAAAAAGTAAAAAGTAATAAAAAATAATATCAAATAAATATAAAAAAATTATGTGTATCAAAGTGTTGAAATTTCTGACTAAAGTTTAATAATTTATTAAAATTTTAAAGGATACCAAAGTTACTTTTTATGAAACTATTTCTATCAAATTTGTTTTGGGCGTGAGTCAAGTTAACGGTTCATCAAACTTTCATTTTTTATTATCATTTGTTTTTACATTTCGTATGATATATTATAAGCTTACGTATTTTATTAGAAAGTGAGTTTTATTAGTTTTTACTCTTGCATTTATATATTATAATTTATAATACATTTTTTTCACATCGAGATATAAATATCTCAGAGCGTGAAAGTAAAATTAATGGAAGATCTGATAGTGGTTACACAACGGATGGAACAGAAATGTCCACATAGATCTCGCTAGAGGGTGTTGCTTCCTCTACCACCGCACCTTTCTCCCTCCACCTCCCCTTTACTATTTTGGCCCTCAGTAAAATTTTAGTTTTAGGATTATTATTTTTTAATTTTACCCATTCACAACCTATTTCACTAATAACCTATTCTAGTCCCGTACATGAGTAAAATATTTTTCTTTCATTTTAACATTATATTTCTTCTTCTCTTTTTTTCGTCGTTGTGAGATACTACAAGTTGCACAGGTTGGTGGTGGTGGAAAGAATTATCAAGCAGTCTCCCTCTCGTGGTGCAGTATCGCTCTCGTGGTGCAGTGCGTGGAGTGGTGCAGTGCGTGGAGTGGTGCAGTGCGTGGAGTGCTTCCTGGTATTCGAATAAACCTTGAAATAAAACCCTAAAATAAAAAACGTAACCTTTAAATGGAGGTAACATCCTTCAACGGATGTCAACATCCGTTTAAAGGAAAAAAGATGTCGACATCCGTTTTACCTTAAACGGATGTTGACATCCGTTGAAGATGTGACCTCCGTTTAAAGATTACTTTTTTTATTTTAGAGTTTATTTTATTAGGGGACATCCGTTGAAGGATGTCACCTCCGTTAATGTATACTTCCTCACGCTGGTTGATGCTCTAGACGCTCCTCGATGTTCCTTCACACCACGGCGGCGACGCTCCTTCACACCATGGCGGCAATGGAAGCTTTCAAACCAAAAACAAAAACTATGGGTGATTAGCGTAATTTAAGATTGAATTGGAGGTAATTCGTAGTTATGTTTATGACGTATTTGACTGTTTAGATCAATCGCTCCATAGATAACATACACTATAATATTTAATCAACATTTAAAAGATTTAATTAAATCAAGATTTGTTTTTAAAAAAGAGCAACAAAATCAAGTAATGTGAATAGGTATGTATTTCTTGTTTTCACTTTTAGAAAATATTAACTTTAGTGATAAAAATTTGAGTTTGAGATTGATTTGATTTTGTTATTTATTCTAATATTTAAGAAATAACTACTTGATGATATCTTTCATGTCTATAAGAATAAAAAGTTACAATTTATGTTGAAAG